AAGGATTTATAGAGGAAGGAATAGTGTCTTGTATCCTTCACAAGATTTATGGTTTCCTGTCCAAGAAAGAAAAGATATATTTCAACCCTAATATTATTTGTTCCAAACTAAATCCTCACAACAAATATAAGTTAAGTCAATATTCAGAAATAAAGGTAATATTTTTTAAAAACAATTGTTGATACGCAATGTTTGATATTCTACTTTCACTGTTCTGATATTTATTATTCTATCGTTTCTTCAAGTTTTCGTCAAGACCGAATTCAATTAAGTCAATTTACTTGTATTCAAATAAGTATTTTATACTATTATTATTGTTGAAATAACTTCTTCCACTTTTTCTATTCTGATCGTTCCACAAGCTGTAATCTTTGCGTAACTCTTTGCTCTAAATTTATAAATTCGCATAACAGTGTCCAGAAAATGGACGTCTAAAGCGATTTTATATTTTCAGAACAACGTAAAAAGTTAATGATGGAATTAATAAATTAAAGGAACTAAAGGAGGAATAAATTAAAAGATTACTAACGTAAGGAATAAAAGTATTCAAAATATAATATTTACCAGTTTTCTTTCATTTTTCGTTGCGCCAAGCAACAAAGGTTGCTTTAAAAAAAGTTCATAAATATATTAAAGAAATGCTCCGATTCATGTCACGCGTTCACCCCCGCACCGTCCGCTTCTTTTCTTTCACTCTCCCCAACCGCCCTCTCGCACCCTGCCCCCTTCCTTTCGTATAATCGTCTTATATGCCTTCCTGTTGCCCGTCGGCTACGAGCAACACTGGATTACGCAATATTCGATATCGTATTCTCTCGGGGTGTATTTATACCTATCAGCATCCCGCGATCTAATCAGCGGCGAGGCTTAAGTACACCCTTTCGGGATTTTCTCGGTAATCGATCGCCGTGAAATCTTAAAGGCAGCCGCGATTTAAGGTGAACGGAAGTGCGACCATTTTGGTAATTGAATTGGTGGGAAGTCTACCTGGTGGATATACAAATTATTTTTTATTGATAGACGTTGCACTGGTAGCGGGAACTTTCTGAGTAGCGAAATAACGAATTTGTTGAGACTATTAATTTAATACAAACAGAATATATAATTTATTTTCTATACTTGTTTATTTTGTCTACTATTTATTAATTCTTTAAGTTACTCCTTAAAAGTTGATGTTTATTATATATTATATATTTCTGTACGCTCTTGTATATTGTGGGATGTTTTTACTTTGAAGAAAGAGTGAGAGATAATAGGAAAACTACTAGGAAAACTTTCATGCTTTCATCATCACAATAAATTATAACATAAGCTGTAATTATATTGCGGATCTTCGTGCATGATAAAAATTGTCAAGAAAAATCGGTTATGAGTTTGTTTCTTTCTTTAACAATTTTAGTCGATCGACG